TATGTTGTTATCCGGCCACCTTTCCAAAAATTGAAGCATAGAGGAAGCGTCCCAAAAGGAAGAGTAATGAGCAGGGGGAGGCCTGGCCAGAAGAATTCCATCAAGCAACCTACAAGCCATAGGATCCTTCCCCACTCCAGAACTCTGAAGAGGAATATGGGTCGCTGTCATAGCTGAACAAAAGATGCTGATCATTCTGTAAGATTTCCCTCGGAAGAAAAGCAAAGAAAGAAAATAAAAGAACGACAGGTGAAGTTAATGAATCCAACCTCTTTCTATACACCAGCAATGCCACACTCTCCATGTCAGAAGATAGGACTTCCTGGTGCCCGGAGCCCAGGATTCCCAGAGAAGATCCTAAGCCTTTTACAATAGGCCTGACACATTTTACAATCCTGGAAACAGTCCAGGCTACCAGTGATAGACAATCCTGAGAGACCAGTGTATGAGGAAACCAGTCCAGATCAAGGAAGAAAGAAGGTAAGAGAGGAAGAATGAGAGGATGGTCGCAGGACATCTCCAGCAGAAGTGTGACAAGCAGGTTAGTCACACACTGATGTTTCAGAAGAGGAAGAGTCAGCAGAATCAATGAGAAGGAAGGAAATGCGTACGTCCCTCAAGGCAGCCACTCCTGGAGAAACGTGTCCACAGCTAGGCAGAGAGGATCCAGAAGTCAACTGAAGAATTGGTCCATCTGCTGATTAATCTGGAAATGAACAGATCTAGATGAAGAGGGCCCCACCAAAGATCCAGAAGGTGAAAAATTCTCAAATGGAGTCTCCAATTGTTGGGAGTCCCTCCAGTGGTAGGAGAATCAATCTGCTACAAAGTTTTCTTCTCGGGGAAGGTACTCTGACCTGATCAAAAGTTGTCAATCGAGACTATAAAGCTTCTCTGTAAAGTTCCCCAGGACTTTCAAGCAGAAACCCCTTATCCAAAGAACCAGAGAGCAATGCGATTTGCCCTTCATAAAGCTGCGAATTGCAATGGAATCCACAATCAACTCCAGACAGTTCATGTGCAGAGTCAGCTCGTCCATAGTCTAAAGACCTCCCATGGCTACTCTGTCGCATATCATGCCACAGCCCAAGAGCTGGAGTCCAATTCCAGGATGAAGTCCAATTCGAGCTATAAATCGCTTTGCTGTTCCATGCTGCCATGTTGGTCAGCCAACATTGGAGTTTCAGATGAACCTCGTCTGTCAAGCAAACGGTCAGATCGTGCAAGGTGGAGTTACACAGATGCTTTGCCTTTAGACATTGCATGGCCCGATAGTACAGAGGACCTTATAAAATGTCCTCGATAGAGGCAGAAAGGAGAACTATGGTCCAAGCTAGAGCCCCTAGAGTGACCAGTGCAACAAATGTCTGATCTCCTTTCTAAAAGCAACAACTTTGAAGGATGGGTGCTTTAGCACCACATCTACAGAGCCCACAATTAATCCCAGGAACTGTATCGATTACAGTACAGGACAAATTCTGACTAGTAGCTTGACTGTCAGGTAAGTATCAACAAAGCGTGTCCGGGTCCCCCGCCATAAGGAGGATGTTGTCTAGGTAGATGATGGAACACACCCTCTGGGCACAGAGAAATGCCATGACAGGCTTAAGAAACTTGGTGAAACACCAAGGGGCTGAGCTGAGGCTGATAGGCAGGCATGTGAATTGCCAGAGTTGACTGTCCCACAGGAATTGTAGGAAATGTCTGTTCTTCCCTTGAATCAGAACAGTGAGGTAGGATACCCTCCATCTTGAAGTGTCTATAGAGAACATAGACATTGAGGTCATGGAGATTTATCACCGGCTGAAAATCACCTGGCGTCCACCAGTCCTATTGCACCCTTCGCACTGAAGACTGGAAAATTGCACATTAATCAAATTTGCTGATTCCAGATCCTTCCAAAGAGGTTGCAAAAGTACCCTCTGTACGGATTCAGAAATTAAATTGATCCAGAACCCCAACATCATCTAAAGGAGCCAAGGATCCTGAGTAAAATCTGCCCAGTGCGGGGAAAAAGCGACACAATCTGCGCACAATAGGAATATGTGGGAAAGAGTGTGTGACTCTTATCTGAGGTATGTCTGAGTCAGGTGGAGTTTTTACCACGACCCAGGTATGATCTGCAGGGGAAGAGCAAACAATGTTGGTAAGGCAATGTTGGTAGGCAGAGATAGAGTAGGAGTCAGACACACGGGGTCTAGGGCCAGCGAAGGCAATTCTCCTGGCGGTGCAACTCTGAAGGAAAAACGATTCCCTGTGCGGAAGGCCCTCTTCAAGGAAACTTGAGCCTTGCTCAAGGAGGTATAAATGGAGATGTGAATATTCAGCTCCTTCATGAACCTGTCACCAAAGAAGACCTGCCAGTTTGGCATCCAGCTTGTAAAAGTATTCAGTAAATAGGGCTACGTTAGCATTGCCAAGAAGGCGGAGAGCCCAGTGTGCCCATTCCTGATGGAGGCTTGCATCCATAAAAGTGCCCTCATGGAGAACCTCATCCACAGTGGCATACTAATGGTAGGCAGGGGGGGTTGGTCCTCTGATGTCCAGGATTTTGTCCTGGGTGGAACGGAGGCCCGGCTCCAAACCCTTACAAGGGTTGTTCCCAGACCTGGCCGTGAAGGTAACAAACATCTGGTCAAGCTCTGGGTAAGGAATACCTTGTCATGTAGAGTGGGCCTGGGGAAATCAGCCCGCAACTTGTTCCTGTTATCCTTGTCCAGAGGGCGACAGAGCCAGAAATGCAGGAATTCATGCAATGTAATCAGGCGGGGTCCATTTGAAAGAAAAAGGGTGACGAATGGCCTTAAGGTTGAAGAACGGCTGAGTCCAAGCTCTCCATCGGCAGTCAGATGGTTGTGCCGAAATGGAAGAACATACAATGAGGGGGACATCCACCACGTCTCCCGAACGTAACCGGTGGCTGTACCAGAAGGAGCCTGTACCTTGCAAAAATTGGCCCCTAACTATTGTGTATTATTTGTGCACCACAGTGGACAGTCCATAATGTTAGCAACCTCAGGAGGCATTAAGGAACCATGGGTTGGAGCCATAGATCCAAGCCTTGCCAGATTTGAGGAAGCCTTGCCCTTCTTGGCAGAGGCACTGCAACCCTTCCATGGGCTCATGCGGGAGGAACTGGGGCCCACCGAACACAGCAATTGGCCTGAATGCAGCCTGCCATGATCAGGCAAGAGCTAGGGGAAGGCCCATTCAGGAAGCAGTAAGGCAAGGCGGCCACCCTTAGCACAGGAACAGCTTGAGTGAGGATCCAAGTATCCAGTGATATAGGGGGTCACCCAATAGTATGGCAGTAAATCCAGTCAAGGAACTATATAGCCAGCAGCAAAAAAGACCAAGGGCGGATGAGAAGAAATGCTGTCAGCACAGCCAGCCGTGGGCACGATCACGTAGACTTCCATCTGGGAGTGCTGACACAACCAAGATGGCCACAGCGGTGCAGCAGCAGTGAGGTCATGGCCTATTATGCGGCAGGTGTGTGCTGTCCATGCGACAAAACACGGCCGGGAAAGACTGGCCACGAGGAGCAGAGACACCTTACGAAGCAAAGTAATAACTGTGGAGGTGCACGGGAAGCGGGACTCACAAAGCTCAATGGCGGCCGTGATCATGAGTGCAAGGCCAAAAACAAAGTGGGCAACCCAGACAGGACACACAGGTACCAAGGTTGAGCCCAACAAAACCCCAAGCAGAAAATAATGAAACACTAAGGCACAAACACAGATAGCAAGATCAGTCAGAGAACTCTGACATGGATGTTTCTCACCTCGAGGCAGCTGCAAATAAAAAGGGAGCTGGAGGATCCAGTTAAGGGTTATATATATATATATATATATAACAAAAATATTCTGTGCTTAACAGGCGCTTAAAACAGATTGTAAGTGCTCTTTTGATGCAGCAGCTCTCACACAAAAAATAGGAATTCTCCAATCCTATTGTGATCAAAATGTGAAACAATACACTATTTGCACAACCAGTATGTAATAGTGAAAGTGTGTAGCGCTATAATATTCACTTACTCCCCAAAATCCTTTAGTGGTACAGAAGGTATTGTGTAAGTAGTCCAGAGCCTATTGGGGATTTGGCTCTAATCACTCTTGTCTTGTATCCTTAAGGTTACACACACCCTTTGAGTCCAAATAGAGTATACTCCTCAAAAACAAAGAGAGGGAGAACAGGGAAAACTCGCCCTGGTGTTGAAATCCTTAAAACAGCAATATATAGGCATGCATGTAATGGTGAAGATTGCTTCTCACCTGAATTAGAGCCTGTAACCTGGCTCTAAGTAAATAGGCATATGAGTCCTTTTGGGATGACTCCTTCCCTCTTTAACAGGATAGAAGATGCACCAAATATATGTATACTAAATAAAAAATAATATTTATTACATTCACTTTTAAAATCAATATGATACATACAGTATATAGGTGAGTCCAAAACGCGTTTCGCCGATTCCGTTCAGCTTTCTCAATTGGTAGCTTCCATCCTGTCTTGTTCCTGATTATAATCCCCGCCTTCCATCCTGATTGGTAGCAACCGATCGAACACCAACCAATCACGGACGTCCTTGCAGGGGAGGGTCTAATAATCTAGCTGTAGTGCTTTATCCCGTAGCGGTGACGTCATCACGCACGTACAATCGTGCGGGTGACGTCACTTACGGGAATGTGAAAAAGTAGTATTCACTCCGGTCTCTCTTCTTTTAATTCCGCTGACATCACTTCCCATTTTCAAAGATTACAAAGGTGTCCCAACTCCTCCTCCAGTCCATTCTGGCAGATTCATTTTAACTAATGGCAAGAAGTACTGGCAATCAAAGTTCAGTCCAATCCGGCAAATTCATTTTAACTGATGGTAAAAGTATTGGCAATCAAAATAGTGACCATAGTATTGCTTCAAATCTTCAGTCCTGAGGCAAATGTGCTCACATTTGAGCATTTAGACACAAACAATATGCATCAATTAGTTAATGTATTTCTCAAGAAGGTAATACAACAGAGAAGTATATACATTAAAAAACATATACATTGAATAACAGTGCAAGGTATTAATGATGTTTTAACCATTTTTTAAGTTAGTTAAATGAATATTAGAACATTTTTATAAAATTAGGAATAAAAGAGGGCATATATTAAAATAAAAAATAAAAAATTTTTTTTTTAAATTATAAAAAATGGCATAATTCAAAATCATTAAGACCATAAGGTTGCATGGTGTTTAAATTAAAAATCCATCTCATCTCTGTTTGTCCAATTAATTTAATAGGGTCGCCACCTCTCCAATTTCCAACTATTTTCTGAATTCCCATAAACGTCATCAATTGTGGATTGCTGTTATGATGGTTCTTAAAGTGCAAAGATACACTATGATTAAGGAACCCTTTTCTGATGTTTCTAATATGTTCTTGGATTCTAGTGTTTAAGGTCCTATTAGTTCTTCCTACATAGGCTAACCCGCAGGGACATGTGATCATATAAATTACTTTAGTTGTATGGCAAGTAATTATTTGTTTGATCTTGAACATTTTCTCATTTTCTTGCGGATGACAAAATTCTCTTATTATTCTTTTACCACTTTTTGAACCCTTGCATGCTCCACACATGCCACATCCATAAAAGCCATTTTTTTCTTTAAAAAATTGATTTGTCAATTTCCTTGAAGGTATATGATTCTTTATTAAAGTGCTTTTGAGGTTTGGCACACCTCTGTATACTATATCTGGTTGATCTGGAAGTATCGAATTTAATATGGGGTCATTTTTTAATAGTGGCCAATATTTTCGGATAATCTTCTTCAAACGCCCACTGTTATAGTTAAAATCACAGATACATTTCAAATTTTGTGGTTCTGTATTCTCTTTAATTCCTTTATATTCTATTAATTGTGTCCTGTCCTCATTCTCTACTTCAGTAAGGGCTTTTTTTAGGAGTTCATCTTTGTATCCCTTTTCTCTGAAATCTTTAATTATTTTCTCTGATTGCTCTTGAAATTTATATTGGTCTGTACAATTCCTTTTTATCCTAAGTAATTGCGCCTTAGGGGCGTTTAACAGCCAAGGGGAGAAGTGGCAACTACTCTCCCCTATACAACTGTTCACGTCTACCTTCTTGAAATGGGTACAGGTTTTAAGCGTATTTTGTTCAACGTAAATATTAAGATCTAAAAATTCTACAGAACTTTTATTAAAATTACTTGTGAGTTTGATACCCCATTCATTATTATTAAGGTGATTTAAAAATAACATCAGTGACTCTTCGTCTCCATCCCAAATAAAAAATATGTCATCAATGTAACGACGATAAGTCACGAGGTTCGCATCCCATCTACGGTCACCATGGATGAATTCCTCCTCCCAGTGTGCCATGAACAAATTTGCGTAACTGGGCGCGAACCTCGTGCCCATCGCCGTTCCACAAATCTGTAAAATAAATTGCTCACCATACCAAAAGTAATTATTAGTTCAAATCCAATTTATCCCCTCTATAATAAAATCTATTTGTTTCTGTGGGAATCTTTTGGAAATTTCTAGAAAGTGCTTCGTTGCTTCACAGCCTTTCGTATGGGAAATTATTGTGTATAAGGAATTGACATCTGCAGTCACTAGATAATAATTCTCTTTCCATTCGACATCTTTAATTATTTGTAGTATATTAATGGTGTCTTTAAGATAGCTGGGACATGTGCAAACAATGGGCTGTAGACTCCTATCAATA